ATGCCTAGGATGGAATGAGGATGCAAAAATGCACTTTAAAACACTTTTCAATATTTTTCAGAAAACAGGGGTCGCTCGAGCGAGCTTTCCAAAACAGAGGGGTCGCTCGAGCATGGACTTCCTCACTCGAGCGGTCTGTAAAAATGTAAAAAGTGCTGGATGTTGAAAATCTCTGCTCGACGCTTGCTCGAGCGTGAGACACAGTCCTCACTCGAGCGTAGGTCTCGTCGCTCGAGCGTGCGTCTGCGTGCACCAAAAATCTGAGAGCTTGCAATCTACGCTCGAGCCATCATTCTTTCGCTCGAGCGGGGCTCTGAACAAAAGATGGTCGCTCGAGCGTGGAATCCTTCGCTCGAGCGTGGAAGCCAAAATCTGGAATATCTAGATTTACCTCCTAAGCTCAAACCAAGCATTCAACACTTCAAAACTCAACCTTTTGGGCCAATTTCCTGGAAAACACTTGAAAACTCATAGTATAACATGTCTTCGAAGATCAATTTGTAAAATCAAGCCTAAAGGTAAGCCAATTTGAACACAAATTCAAATGTAAATATGAAGAACAATTCAAAATCATACATGCATGAGTTCCCATAAACTCTAATGCTCTAAGGCATGATAAAATGCAAGATTGAGCTCAAGAATATGACCAATTCATGGATCAAAACTAAAATAGAAACATGAATGTGGGAATTTCATGAAAATGACTTCAAAACACTATGATATGGACATGCATTCACACAATGCCTCATAATTCAACACTTTGAGCTAAAACTTAACTCTGATCTCCAATATTTCCATGAACCATGCAAGATGCAACTTAATTTTATAAATAAAAGGATGAATTCTCTATTTTATGCCTAGAATTCCAAGAGTAGAAGCTCAAATATGCAAATTCCCTTCAATTCCTTCTAATTTTCCAAGCCAATTTTGATGAACTCAAGTTTTCGCCTATCTCTCTCTCTCTTTTTTCGATTTTGGCCTAGGAAGATGGATGAAAATGATGCCAACATATAACAAGGAGAATAAACAATGGCCTAGAATTGTCCACTAAGCGGCAATAAGGTAATTTACTTGAACTAATGTGATTTAACATTATTTAATCTAATTTAATCATTCCAAATCAAATTTCAACTAAATCTACCATAAAATCACATAAATTCTAATTAACACATAACACCAATCAGTTTCTGATTCGGCCGCCGATAAGGCCTTCAATTTGCAGTTTGAAATTAAAACATGAATAGATTCATTCAGAAATCAAATAGATAGAAATGCATTTAAAACAATACACTCCTATAATCAATTTAGGATTTCATTCTAATCAGTTACTTATCATTCTTAATCATAGATTAACACTAATCAGATGTGAGGGTTGTCACAGTAATTCAGATAAGTAAGTATAAAAACAAATAATAAAGAAATTAATATCACAATATACATGTTGTCTAAATGGTAAAAGTATTCTTAATGCAACCTAAGGTTTTGGGTTCATACCTTTGAATAATATATTTTTATTTTAGGATAGACATTTTTTTCACGTGGTAGAAAGAGAAGCCACCACATTCTTGGACACCAAGCCAGTGCTTAGATATATAATAGTATAGATATATGACTGCTAGTTTGGTTGTTGTGAAAACCAAGAAAAACAAAACAAATAATGATGAAGATGAGAGAAAGTGGTTTTGTTGTTGTTTTTTTCCTTGGCTCAGATTTGTTGTTGTTGTTGTTGTTGTTACTGCTGCTGCTGATGATAATGATGAACAGATAAAATACAAATTTGATGATGAACAATTAAACATAAATTTGAACAATTAAAAAAATTGAACAGATAAAAATATTTGAATAAATATATTTAAACAGATAAGTTAAAATTTAAGCATATAAAAAATTTAAAATTTGAACAGTTGATAAAAAATTTGAACAGATAGAAATTTTAATAAATAAAATTTTAAACAGATAAAAAATTTGAACAAATAAAATTTTTTACAGATAAAAAATTTCAACAAGTTGTCGACAAAAAGTCAAACCAAAAAAAAAAAGTCAAGGGGTTAAATTGGAAAGAAAATGTTCTTTAGGATTTTTCAGCAAACTATTTTATGAATACTTTCTCAATACACACATTATAAAAATGTAAATTCTCAGTACACGTCTCTATATTCCAATATTATCCTCATTTTCAATTTTGATATCCTAAGGCTATGTTTGGTTTCAATTTTTGAATCAATTTTTTGAAAAATTTTATGAGAAAAATATAAATTAATTTAACAAAACTAATTAAAATTTTAATTTTTTTTGGCCCTAAAAAGAAGAAACCATATTGAAATAAGAAGTTTTTTTTTATTATTTATTTTTGAAAACATATTCTGAAATTATACTAAACAAAGTCTTTTTTTTTTCTTCATCCACTCATCTTTACTGTAGTTACCGCCATTTTCAACCCTCCATCACCACCACCATCGCCATTTCTAGCTCATCTCCCTTTCATTCCAGGCCTCCATAGTCAACATTGAGTGATTCGTGGTGAGAGACTTGTGGGAGTGTATGGTTTATGACGAAAAGTGATCACAGGTGAATAAGAAAAAAGACGACGAGAGGGGATGGCGGATGAGAGAGGTGGCGCTGGCGATAGAGGATGGTTGTGGCGTTTTAGAAATAGGGTTTGAATAGAAGAAAATGAGGGTATTATGGTATTTTTATTCTATGACAAAATTGTATTAATGAAAATTTTCAATAAGTGTGTGAACTGAGTGAAATTAGTGTATGGAAATAGAATTACCCAGTATGGACCTCTTATCAACAAAAAATGTTCCTTAAACCTAATGCTTTGTACTCTCTTTATATTAGATTTATCACCAATTAACCCTTGTTTTATTTGATTTGTTTTATCTTTTACTTTATTAAAATAAAATTATGGAATCAAATTTCTGATTTTTTTTTTGAAAAAAAATTAAAATTAGTTTGACAAAAATTAATATTAAAAATATATATTTGAAAATTATTTTTGCCTCAAAAAATGTGAGACTATATAAAAATGGTTAATGTTTTTGGTGAATTATTTTTTTCATTAAATTAATTTTTAATTAAAAAAATTCAAAAAAATGTCTTTTTGGAACAGTTAATTTATTATTTTATTTTAAATAAATTATATTTTGCTTCTTTATGTTTGGCCATTGAATTCCCTTCCTCCCCTAACTTTGGTTCATTATGTTTCAAGTTTTTTTAATTTACTTCTAAAACCAACTTTTTGATCAAAATAAATCAAAAAATGACACATCAACTGTCAAAAAATATTATTATATTAAAATTTAAGTGTGTGTCAAAAGTGTAATTAATATATAATAATATACCACGTGATTACCAACATGTCAATTTTAGAAGTGATAAATGAACCAAATAGTTTGAGCTCAACTCGTATTTAGCTCGTTAAAAACTCTTTCGAGCTTAGTTAGTTAAATAAACAAGTTAAGCTTAAACACATTTTGGAATTCATTAAAATTTTCAAAACAAGCTTGAACATTCAATTGTTTGTTCAGTTAAGTTTGATAAGCTTAAAACTATATAAAAATACTAAACTACTCGAGTTTGACTCGATAAAAGCTCATTTGAGATCGGTTTGAAAGGTTAACAAACCAAGATTAAGGCCTTGTTTGGCATATACTAAAAAAGTCAAAAAGTCACTATCCTATTTGAGGGATTGTTTGGGATGACCTAAATAAGTGTACTTTTTATATTTTTACAAAAAGATGTGCAGAAAAGTAGAGAGGTAATGTGATGAAAAAAAGATAAAAAGATAAAAAAATAAAAAGATGGATTATTTTTGGGTTGCCAAACTTGGCCTAAGTTACATCATCTTATTTAAGTCACATCACCTCTCTACTACATCACTTTAAATCCAACTCATATTTCATAAAAAATCAAAAAATGCACTTATTTAGAATATCCCAAACAACCTTTAAGTGAATCTTGAAACTTGTTAGTTATCAAACCAAACTTGAACAATTAACTAATTGGGTCGTTTAGCTCGTTTATCACCCATAGTAACTTTTTATATAATTTTAGGCATGAGTTAGCTTTTGGAGTAGGTGTCCTAAATAAGTGTATTTTTTGTATTTTTAAACTAAAAAATTGAGGAAGAAAATACAGATGTTTGGGTTAACTTTTTGACTTTTTATGGAAAAATGTGTAATAAAAAATTGTAAAAATTGATTTGTAAGAGAAAATTAGAATTAAGAGTTGTGCAGTCATAATTGTTGACTTTTGGTGAATAGTATTAACTTTTTAACTTTTTGAGTAACTTTTTGACTTTTTGACTTATTCTGGACTTGCCAAACTTGACCTAAATTAGGCTTCATTTGACAACATTGAAAAATAGCATAAAAAGCAAAATGTTGCTAAAAAATTCAAAAAACCAACAAATATAAAAAAAAAAATCAAAGATTCATTTCTACTCATTATATTTTTTGTACATCTTTTCATAAAAAATTAAAAAATATTCAAATATATTAACTTTCTTATCTTATATTTTAGCCAAAAAAATAAAAAAATTCCTAGAAAAGTTTGTTCGCGGATGAGATTTTAGAAACAATTGGAAACATGAAAGGCCAAACTAAAAATAAATAAACTTTAAGAGAGGGTAGTAAAAATGGCAAACTTAAAAGGGCAAAATGTAATTTACGTATTTATTATTTTTAAGGCCAAGTTTGGCATATTGTAAAAAAGTCAAAAAATCAAAAAATTACTCAAAAAGTTAAAAAGTTAATACTATTCACCAAAAGTCAACAATTACGGCTGCACAACTCCCAATCTTAATTTTTCTCTACAAATCAATTTTTATAATTTTTTATTACACATTTTTTTTATAAAAAGTCAAAAAATTAACCAAAATATCCATATTTTCTTCTTCAATTTTTTAATCCAAAAAGATAAAAAGTACGCTTATTTATTTAAGACACCCAAACGACCCGGAATCAACCAATCCAAACCTAATAACCACCCCTTTGATACTGTATTTCTCAGCGTTCGAAAGTTCTCATTCCCTTGTTCAAAGAGAGAGAGAAAGAGAGAGATAGCAAAGGCGAACAATAATTTCTTCTTAAGAGGTAAGTTTTAATTTCGTTTTTCGATCATTTACTTAATTAGGGTTTTGATTCTACTCTTTTTCTGATTCTTTCATGGTGATTTTTGAGTTTATATATATGCTTCAGTTTTCAATCTCTAGGGTTCGCTTTTTTGGGTTTCTGATGATTTGTGGCTTTTGCTTTGTTTTTGTTGCCTTTTGGTTCTTGTGTTAATCTGAATTGTAAAATATTCACACAAGAAACGATCTTGAGCACCGAATTAATCTAGACTGATAATCTGTCAACAAAACCCCAATAGGAAAACGATCTTGAGGACTAACAACCTCTCGATTAACCTCTTTCAATGGAGATATTTGACTTCTTAGGCCACCAAAGAGCCCCGATTCTCAACCATCTGGACTAGAAAACTCAACCCTAAAATCGAATATCCCTGGAAACCATAATCTAACTTCATCACCACCAGCAATCATTTTTTGGGGCATGGTCCTTGGTGTGCAACCAGTTGTGGTGGCAGCGGTCGTGCCACCGATGATGCTACCACATGCTCTGCCTAGTCAGACTCCTAAGATGATGAGCGAGATTGGGTGCCAAAGCAGGCTCAAGAAAGAGGATCAACAGCATGACGATGGCTCTGTTCATGCGGAAGTACATGAGTTTTGTTTTGATCTGTCTGATTGCGTGGTTGAGGCTCTTTGGAAGCCCTATTAGGTTTGTCCCTCCTACTGATGATGATGTTGAAATCGTGCCATACGTCGTCATTTTCCAGTGACTCTAGTGTCACTGTGATGCTTGTAGTTGGAATGTTCCAACACTCTTTAAGGGTTGCTACTTTTCTTCACAAACAAAGGACTTCTTTCTATTGAAAAAGCTACTCCTACAACAATTTGTACGCATGTTAAAAAATAAAAAAATGCGTTGTACAATATTTTTTTTAAACATTCAAAAACTGGAATTTGTGAAGTGTTTGCGAGGAAAATGATTTTGGCCACTGTATTTTTTTTAAAAGGCTCTATATAAAAAAAAAAAAAATTGTGATCAAGCAACTTTTGTTTGTTCCAATAATATTTGAATTAGTGAGTTGACAAATGAACTTTAGAGACTTGCAATTAAAAGGAAGAAAAAAACAAAACAAATGAAAGAGCTCAAATTTAAAACTTTATTGAATCAGTTATTTGTAAAATGTAAAAAATGGTTTGAATCAAAGGTTCAAACAATTAATCAACATGAAATATAGCACATAAGAGAAGAATCATCAAGTTATTGGGTTCGTTTGGTTTGTATTTCTGAAAAAATTTTGAGAAATTTTCTCTACAAATAAGTTTTTAAAAGTAATCAAACCAAACAAATTTTTCCAAAAAAATATCTCAAAACTTGTATACCAAACAAGTTTTCCAAACAAATCTCTCTCTCACACACATCAAATCAATCACTTTTTTCAAAACTCTCTCTCAAAATAATTTTCCAAAACATCTTTTGAAAAAAACCAAACCAAACAACTTTTCGTACTTTTTATCTCTAAAACACATCTCTCAAACACAAACCAAACATACCCATTATCTTTCCATGAAATGCATAAAGTGCAAACCCTAATTTTTTGAAATGGGAGGATACTAAGCGAATCCCCTATTGAGCCATAGTGTATAAGCATGAACAAACTCAAAAAACACCATCCACATACAAATCACCTAAAATATTCAGAATTCAATGAATCCATGGTTTAGAGAATTGATAAACTCCAAAAAAAGAAAACTCCATGTTATCTTTCAATGAAATAGACAAAGGAAAAGCCCTAATTTTCTCATTGGAACGTAACAACCTTATATTCCTAGTTGAATCATCACCTTGAAGAGGGTAAACATCTTGAATCGCAATACCACAAACAAACCACAACAAAAACTACAATTTTGAATAAAATAGTTGTCAAATACTTGACTTGATGTCGAGAATCGTAGAAATTAGATCAAATTGAATAATTTTAGAGGCGCAGAGGCCAAAATCGAACTTTAATGTCGAGAGAGAACGAAGTGAATCCAGATTTGCAGTGATGGCATATGGTTGTGGAGGCTAGAGTTTTGAGGTGGATGTAGGGATTGTAGAGCGATGAGGAAGATAAAGGGCAAAGGAGGGGAAGGACCCTAGATCAAAAGGGATAGGTACTAAAGTGCGAGGGGAGCTTCGAGTGCACTGACTTGGATTTTGGTTTTGACTTTCAACTGTGTTCAAAGTTTGCATGAACAATGACACACATCCATGCGAGTGCCTCCTGCTATCTCATTAGTGGTCAATAGGGACACTTACGTAAATGGTTGCTTTACAGGGTAAATTGCCCTTTGCCCACCTTAAGGTTCTTAATTATCTATTTAGGCTCTTAATTTTTTTCCCACTTTAGTTCCTAACTTTTTAAAATTTTCTCGGTTACAGAGTTAATATTCGTTTAAAAGTGGATGAAAAACGTTATGTTGGCAGTCATGTGACATAATAATACATTATTATACAAATTTGGATAAATTGCCCATTGCCTCCCTTAAATTTTAGTATCTTAACACTTGGTCCCTTAAAAGTTTTTTTTCACACTTAGTTTCCTTATGTTTCTAAATTTTCTCAGTTTGTTCCAATAGCTATAATTCGTCCAAAATTGGACAAACGATAGCCACATTGGCCCCAATTCGATCCCCACACTCCACCGTCCCCTTCCCTCTCCCAAATCTGATGAAATGTTGATAAGATTTAAGTGATGGCATTCGATGGGTTGATTTGAAGGGAATGTGTTGATGGGATAAGATTTAAGTGATGGCATTCGATGGGTTGATTTGAAGGGAATGTGTTGATGGATGCTTGATGATGGTTTTGAGGTGTTGGTGGTGGTATTGAGGAGGTGGACTACGGCGGTTGATGGTGGTGTTGTTGAGTTGTTGGTGATGGCCACGAGAGTGGGAGTACTGTTGGGGGGGGGCAGTGGTGGCTTATTATGGGTTATAGGTTTGGGTTGTTATGCCTCAGATCATGTAACCTGAGACTGTGAACTGGTTTAGAAGCATAAAGGTGGGCAAAGGGTTAAAGAGGTCCAAGAAGTCTCAAGAAGAGGGTTCAGCAAGTCAAGGAGTTAAAAGGAAGAATGTCAACAGAATGGACCAACCGCTTGACGAGATGAAAGACCAATTGAGCGCGCAATACAGATAGCACAGGTGTCAAACAGAGTCCGAAAAGAAAGGCCAGAGACCACTTGAGTGAATTGGTGATTTCTTGAGTGAGCTGTTGACCATTTCTGCTCAGGCAGGCAGAAACTAAGATGTCACATTGACTGCTCGAGGACCACTTGACGACCATTCGAGCGGTTTGAGAGAGTAGGTAACCCTAATCTGCTGGGCAACCTTTGCCCTATCCGAACCAAACAATGGTCACACAGACCCTCAACCAAACTCGACAACAAGCATTCTCAAAATGTAAATTAACGACAGCAATACACAAAATGAGTCAGTGCATCTTGATCGAATTAGTGGTTTAATCTTTAAGTAACATGCGGAAAAGAGTTCGTTCATTGATTTTTTTCCTTTTTATGCCCATGTATTTATATTGCTGTGAAGAAATAATAGAATTATTGATTGCACTGAGTCTTTAAAATATATTTGTAATCAGGATTTCAGGTATTGGGTTGTTGAAGGTTGCTGCTTCCAAAACAATCTCATTTGGGATTTGAAACAGCTATGCGGGGATATGATAGAGATGTAAGAAATTTTGGAGTTCATGTTGAGTTTATTCTTCTCCCTCATTTTATGTATTAAAAAATTTGTGTATTTTTTACACTTCTTTCTATCTTATAAATTGTATTTTATTTTTGTGTAGGACTATGAAGATTTGGATGAGTATGAAGAGGATGGCGACAAGCAAGAAGAGGAAGGGATTGGTGAAGGGGAATATGAAGAAGAACCTCCACAAACCACGCAGGAGGAACTGGAATACCTTGAATTGAGGCAGCGATTAAAAGAAGGTATCAGAAAGCAGATGAAAAAGGAATCTGGTTCTGCCCTCGCTAATTCCCAAGAGAAAAAGAAGAGGCTGCCCTTTGACAAGTGAGAACATTGTGCAATTTCACAAATTGACAGAATTGTTAATTATTTTACTAGGATACAATGTACATGTTTAAATTTCATATTACTTACTTTTCCAGAACACTGTTACTGACAAGATTTAGCTATATATTTTCCTTTTGTGAATTTTGCACAAGTAATACATCATAGAATTATATTATTATCAATAACAGAGACTGAGACTTTTGTTTTTTGTTTTTTTTTTCCTTTTGTTTGTTTGTTTAATTAGAACATATATTGTTTTGGCGGATCTGAGGTATGGAGATATGGCAAATATCATGGTGACTACATGACTTCTCATAGTATCATTGTCGTGATCTCTGTTATCAGAATCTTACGATTCGCGATTTGATACGCAATTTTTGCAAAATCGATACGAATCTATAAGTAAATCTATTTTGGAAGTGAATCTCTAGTGAATCACACGATTCACAATCGATTCACGATTCAATTCACTTTTTACGATTCATGCAATTTTTGAAATTATTGTTTTCGACTCATTTTTTCGACTCATTTTTTCCATCTTTTTAGTGAAAATGACATGATACAATTTCTAATAACATTTAATACCAAAATAACCAACATATGTATATGATTTGTTGTTATTTTAGTGATCATGGAGTTTTTTATAGAATTCAATCAGATTCAGTCAAACCTAACATATGTTTAACTTTTCTTCTCATTTTTTTCCCCTTCAAAAAATTGTAATATATCTTCTAAAGATATTTAAGATTAAAGTTACACTATGAATTAATTATTACTATTTTATTAAATTGAATATTACATGTGTGAGGTCAGTTACACTTTTTAAAATGTGTTAGGCTTTAAAATAAAATATCCTAAATAATTCTTTCTTATTATTTGTTCACTCTTACTTAGAAAAGTATATATGCTTATTGTCCAAATATCAATATCGTTGTAAACTATTGTTACTTTAGAAACAAATAGTTTGTCTATTTGGTTATTATTTTTATTAAGAATGGTTGATGAAAAATATCTAAAAAATAATAAGAAAAAAAAAGGTAAGATAGTGATTTTACATAGAAACCTTTGTTAATTTCTTACCTATTAAATTACGTGATTATCATTCAAAATAACATTTTTGTTGATTTAAGTATAAATATTTTATATTCATAAGATATATTTAACATCTAAATGTGTAGATATATGTTTTTAAGTAATTTAGAAAAAGTGACCGAATCTTTACGATACATGATTCGATTCGATTCACGATTCGGTACGAGGCCATTTCGATTCACGATACAAATCTCGATTTGACAACTATGGTCGTGATTATTATCACATACTGTCTTTTGGATTTATTTTGTGCTGGGCCGGCTTTAATTTAAACCCAAGAATAAAACTTTTGTTGCCTTTGATTTTGCTTAATGTTTGTTATCTTTTCTTTCCCTTCTATCAAATTGATATAACATGAATATGAAATATAGTTTGACATCATTTATTTATTTTTTCTGGCCTTTACGGGTGCCTATGCAAAGAAATACGACTTATAATTTATCAAATAATAGAAAGTACGTATGTGTGAATTTTATGATTGATTAAGGACAATTGTTGCGCTGGTATCCTCTACCATCACTGTGGCATTCCCTTGCTTCGGAGGCACGGGGAAAAATGTTCCTCTTTTTCTTCTTTTGTGGTGTGGTTTTGGTGTTGATCTAAAATGTTGGGTGATTTTGATGTTTAGGCTACCATTTTTTGGATAATAGTTTATGGTACTTTGAATATTTTATGAATGTCCTAAAGCTTTAGTTTTCAATTTTGAATTTTATAATTATATGGTATAGAATCTCAGCCATTACATCCTTTTTCCCCATGTTCTGCAGTTTTGGATCCTTCTTTGGGCCTTCACAACCTGTTATTGCTCAAAGAGTAATTGAAGAAAGCAAGTCATTCTTGGAAAACCAACATTTAACAGCCAAAGTTTCAAAATCCCATCATGATGTGGGTACCATAGTAAGTCTCTTGTTTTGTTGTAGTAGTACATTCCTGCATGCTGCAAATCTGATCTTAACCTCATGTTCTTCCAATGTGCTCCTAGAGGGTGTACTGTCGATTGTACAACAATTTTGTTCATTGTGAGATGTTAGATGCATGATCCTGGTTAGCCTAAAGCAATAGAAATTGATGCTTTGACCGCACATATTGCCTCTAATAAGCAATAACCTGAAATTTTGCGAGGATTGGCCTTAGTTATGGTGGGAGGAAAACATCTCGATACTCAATTTATGAGGTTAATTTCCCAGTTTTTTGCCTTAAAAAATGCGTGATATTTGATGGGCACACTTGATACATTGCATTGGTAGAGTAGAGGTTTTATCAGTATGCTCCTTCACTATCTTTTTATTATTTTACATTATATATATATATTCATCACAATTAAATTTAACTATTGATGTAAGATTTCTGAATAATTTCTGTATATTCAATTGTGTAGAATTCACAAAGGGTTCATTAGTTTATATAACCCTAAACCTATAGCTGAAAAACGAAATACAATCAATTGGAATATTTACACCACAATCTTTCCTAATCCCTAATATATGATATATATACAATATATTCTCACAGCCCTTGCTCAAATTCAAGGCGTTTTAGCAAAAAATACTGAGAGTTTGCTTAGAAGAAATCAAAACCGAGCAGTGGTGTGAGTTTTGGTAAAGAAATCAACTAGTTGCAGAGTTGAAGTGACAAAAGGGAGGAGCGAGATAAAGCCAAACTGTAGATACTGACGAACGAAATGACAATCAATCTCAATGTGTTTTGTCCGTTCATGAAAGTTAGTGTTATGGACAATTTGAATAGCACTGCGGTTGTCACAATAGATAGAAGTTGGAGAAGACTGAGAGATGCCCAAGTCAGATAAGAGATAATGAAGCCAGACAATTTTAGCAGTAGCATCAGCCATAACACGATACTCAACTTCGGTAGTAGAATAAGTAACAACAGTTTGTTTCTTGCTTTTTCAAGAAATCAGTGAATCACCAAGAAACATACAGAAATCAGAAGTGGAGTTGCGATCATTAACATTATCAGTCCAAACAGCATCAACATAGGCCACCAAGTCCAAGGAAGAAGTAAAAGATAACAAGCAGCCCTGAAAGATAGTACCGTGAAGAATTCGGAGCGAAGCAGCCCAATGAACAACATAGACAAGATTAGGGCGAGCAACCGTCAGATAGACTAAGCAATCCAAAAGCTCTCGAAACAAAGTAGGATCATCCAGAGGGACACCATCAATAGTGTTGAGCTTCACATTAAGCTCAATGAGGGTATCAAAAATGTTAGTGTCAGTAAGATCGGCACGGTGAATAACCTTATTAGCATACTTGGCTTGAGACAGAAAATAGCACTTAGGAGAAGAAGCGACCTCAATACCAAGAAAGTACTATAATGGGCCCAGATCCTTCATTTTGAAGGTGCGGAAGAGATGTTGCTTGACCTCAGAGATAATAGAAGAGTCAGAGCCAGTAATGATCATATCATCTACATACAGTAATAGGGCAACAAAACCAGTAGAAGTGTGGAGGAGAAAAAAAGCAAAGTCCTAGGCACAAGGATAAAATCCAAGCTCAGTAACAGCTATTTGAAAGTGATCATACCAAATACGGGGAGATTGCTTCAAACCATACAAAGCACGCCGAAAAAGACACACTTGTCCAAAAGAATTAGGAAGACTAGTGGGAGGATGCACATAGACTTCCTCAGTGAGATGGCCATTAAGAAAAACATTCTTAATATTCATGTGATAGATAGACTAATGACAAACAACATTCCAATTAAACCAAAATAACCAAATTAGAGATCCAAATCATCCCACAAACCAGATGACCCGATGAACTAGTCGAACAAGAGAGAGAGAGCAGACCTTCGCGAGGATTAGAGAGGCTGGGAGAGAGCTCGATCGCAAAGCAGAACGAGGGAGATAGAACACTCTTGCTGTCTTGAATCAAAGATTCTTGACCTAGAGACCCACAAATATCAACTTAGAGTATAGAATCAGAAGTAGAGAAAGAGAGCGAGAGAGAGAGAGAGAGAGAGAGAGACCAAATTGTAAGAGATGAGAGCCAAAGTTGATCTTGAGGGACAAAGTCAGACACCACTTCGATTGCGTGAACCAGAGGTAGAGAGAGATTCTTCAGATGATCACGAACCCCGAGAAAAATGGGAAAGAGCTTAATTGCGAAGCAGAACGAGGGAGATAGAACACCGTTGCTGTCTTGAATCAAAGATTCTTGACCCAAAAGACCCACAAATATCAACTTAGAGTAGAGAATCAAAAGTAGAGAGAGAGAGAGAGAGAGAGAGAGAGAGAGAGAGACCAAATCGTGAGAGATGAGAGCCAAAGTCAATCATGAGGGACAAAGTCAGACACCACTTCGATCGCGTGAACCAGAGGTAGAGAGAGATTCTTTAGATGATCACAAACCAGAGGAAAACAGAGGAAAAATCGACATAGGGAGACCAAACCAACTTTGAAATCACCATACCAATGTGACCCAACTTCACAGCAGAGGCAGTAGATCATGACCCAACAGTTCGATCGATCACGACCTGGAGCAGCGAACCAGAATTCCAGAGAGCAACCACGAGTCGAAGCACTTAGTCGAAGCATTGAGAAGACAAAGACCAGTGAACATGGCTTCAACATCGGTGCGAGGCCGAGAGAGAGCACAAATCAGAGAGCAATGGTGACAACTCTAGGGTTTCGGACATAGCTCTGATACCATGTAAGATTTTTGAATGATTTCTATATATTCAATTGTGTAGAACTTACAAAGGGTTCATCAGCTTATATAACCCTAAACCTATGACTGAAAAAAGAAATACAATTAATTGGAATATTTACACCACAATCTTTATATTCTCACAATTGAGGTGCTATTTTCCATAAAAAATTGTCTCCAAAGGATTTTAGGGATCAGAGGATAGCTATTTCTATGGCCTTGATCAATTAAGTGTCAATGACGTACTCATTTTTTCATCTATGGCTATAATTTCTTGTAGTGAGACCCTCTTTTCATTCCCCGTTTTTTGTTTTTTATTTTTTATTATTTTCTTCTTAGGATTGCAAAGGTTTTTGCTTTGGGATGTAAGATATTTTGTTGTTATGGGAGATCTGTTTCTTACCTCGAGTCTTGAGGTTCATGGCATGCCTTGCCTTGCAGTTGGAATGTTGGATAACGACTAGTTTTGCTTTCTTCTTTTTAACAAAATATGGTTGGCACATGATCCTTCTATGAGGAATTGCTCCATCTAATATTCTGGAGATTGGGCTGATTTCTGGTCTGTTTGTTAATTGGGCTGGCCAATGGGTCTTTCCTATTTTCCCAGAATGTGTACTATATAGAATGCAGATGGGCTTAAGTTATAATTTTTTATTGCTTTCAACTTCATTTGAGTTGTGGTTAATCAGTTGATGACCCCACTTGTCCATGTAGAAAAAAAAGAGCTTTGCTTCAACCACTGGTGGGTCAAAAAGTCAAGTCCCTAACCATCGTCCTAAAGTTGTAAATCAGGTTAGTGAAAGGAACCTGTTGTAGATTTTTTTCCCTGTAGTTTCTAATTTTATTAATTTCATAGATTTTTCCACTTAAGCAGGTAAAAATGAAAGTCCAGAAACTTAAGGATATGAGAGATTACTCTTTTCTAGTGTCTGATGACGCAGCGCTTCCAGCTCCTGCAAAAGATCCTCCAATTCGAAATGTCGCTGTTACGAATTCTGGTGTGTTGCTGCTTTTCTGCACTGTATCTGGTTGTTGATCTAAAGCCCAAAGCATACTATTTTTATTGAGAAAATTTATGCAGTTTTTTTTTTTGGGGTGATGTTGAAGATGCGAGATCAGCTCAAGTGCCACCAAAGAGCAAACAGTGGTCAACCAATACTGCCAGACAATTTCCCAATAGTTGTGAGAGGAAACCTGTGTCAACAAGTAGCCAAATGCATCCTAAAGCTGGTTCCCACAAGTCAACTTCCACTAGTAAGCCCATTCTGACATCAGTTTACTCTAGAAAACAGCTTGGAAACAATAATGGGAGTGGGCCAGGTCGGCCTCTGGGGCCAAAATGCTTGCCTTCTAAGGTGCCAGCGGCCGCAACAGAGAGGAGGGTGTCCGCATCAGGTTCAAAGAGTGCAAGGAGTTCCACGCCTAGTGTGCACAAGCCACCGTCTTCGAAATTGCACCTGTCTGCTCCGAAGCAACCTTCTGTTCCAAAGCAACCCTTGGAGCTGAAAAAGGCAATTCAGGGATCTAGCAAAGGAAAGATGCTGCCCAAACAGCCAGTACCATTCTCTAAACCCCAGGTTTAATCCCGTTTACTTACGCCTGTACGATCATTATGGTTGATTTTTCTGTATATTTATTTAAAGATATCTCAATTTGTCATTTTTTTCTCTCCTGCCCTCGCATGAATAATGGATGCCTTCAGCCATTTTCCGGTTGACATCTGTATATCCAGGGAAGGGCGATAACATTTTTTAAATAAAATTTGTCCTTGCATGATTTGTTGACAGATAAACAAGCCACTAGTAAGACCTCCATCTCGCCCTACAGTGCGAGAGGACCGCCCGAAGAAGCAGCCTGTGAGACCGTACTTTGATGATGATGAGGATGAGGATGATGATGATGATGAAGGTGGAAGAGCAATTAGCATGATTAGAAGTATGTTTAGGTAAGTAGAAGCCTTCTGTTTTTCCTTCATGTGTGTTTTTCAATGATAGAAATTCATTGTTGTTAAATTGCGAATCGAATCGTGAATCGTTTGGCTAAAATAGTGAATTGTAAGATTCATTTTATTTAATATAATTCTATATGTTTATATACATAAAAATACATACAATGTTTAAAATAAACTAAGTTATCAATATGACTAAATTATATGTATGTATATACATATAAAATCATGTATAGCAATATAACTAATTAAAATATTCTATATATGTGATTCGTGATGAATGACAAAATTTTTGTCTTTCACAGTTGAGCAAAGTTCTGCTTTCTTTCCTTTTAATTGTGATGCTGTTCTATTTGTGCTACTGTTTATTCAAGACTACTTTTGTTTATATTTTCTATATATTACGGTGAACACCAAGGTGGACATGCAGTTCAATGTTGAAATTGAACTTAAAGCCTGGGGTTAATATTGTTCAAATTTAAAAAATAGGGATCAAAGTGAAATTTGAGTCAAGCTACAGGCGTGAAAAGTGTAATTTTCGCCTTATTTAAAACTAATTTTTCTTTGTTGCTAGTAGACCACATCTTTTTTCGAGATGGCAGAACCTTGCCCACAGTGATGATTTGACCCAACAGAAATGGAATTGGGGTAGGCTGTTTTGCCAACTGGCAAGGTTTTGGTTTGCCAAGTTATTTGTTTGGCTTGGTTTGTGTTTACTCAAATGTCGTTCGATCACAAATAACTTGGGTGATACTTGGGACCTTCTCATTTTAAACAGACCCAATTATCAATAATTTTAGTGTCTCTGTTTTTTCCCGTTTTTGTTTTGTTTTGTTTTGTTTTTAAAGGTTTTTTAAACTGGATATGGTTTGTTGTGTTGGATATATTATATATGTGATTTCTCGATGTTTTTTGCACCCAATCTGGGTGCACAACCAAACCAGAGACGTAATGAATCAGTTCTAGTTTTACCTCTTTTAAGGAGATTTTATAATTGCATGACTTGGGCCTTTGTCGCTATATTTTAAATCTCAACTATGAAATTTTGTTCCCTTGACCAAACTAAAGCAAAGTGATGATCTTCATGGCAGGTATAATCCAAACAAATTTGCCAAACGTGATTATGATGATGATAGTGACATGGAGGCAAACTTCGATGATATTATGAAAGAAGAGAATAGGAGGTTAGTACGGTTTTAGTGAAAGTAGCATGGAATTCTTCTTCATTTTGGCTAAAATTTATTATTTTGTTTACTTCACTGTGGTATCTGAACTTCTGCCTTTCGATCAAGTAGGTTTTACCTGCTACCTGTTTAATTTTTACAACCCAGAATGCCATTTTCAAAATTTTCATCCAATATTTCTACGTTGTCATTTTATTTAACCCTCTCTATCTGAGATGCCATTTGCTTTTGTTGGTTTACCTGCTCTACCGTTCAACGTTTACAAGCCACAACTTCATTGTCCTTTTTTCATCCAATATTTCTACTTTGGTATTGTGTTTAGCCCATTCTGTACGTGCCATATCTGCTCATATCCATCCACTATTTGTCTTCCTGTCGTTATGGGATTTTTTTTTAATATTAATAATAAAGACCTGCATTCTGAGAGAAACTTGATCATCCTTGTAGCTTATGGTTTGTTGGGGGTGTTGAACAGTGTTGTGACCCTATTGATGAGGTAGAATTTTGATTTATGAGAAAATTCAGAATAAAATGAGATATACACTCTGTTTGTCAGAATAAAATGTGATAAACACTCAGTTTGTTTTGGCAGAATTTTATTTTGAGTAATGATACATACCTCTAATTTAAGATCTCTAAATGGAGCGGAGCACTAGTGAGGTGGAAGAGAGAGAGAGTAGAGAGAGATAGAGAGAGAAGTGTGGGCTTCACCTTCACATGGGTACACTCCACATCATTAGAGTTGCATTAGAGCTCTCAAATTAGAGCTCTCAAACATTATTGTTTTATCTTTTGCAATTTATTTGTGTTTGATACAAGGAAAAACGAAAGTCAAAGAAAAAATATTTTTCGTGGTTAACAAAAAACAAGCTCATTTGGGAGGAAAAAGGCGAAAAATGTTTTCCAAACTAAAGTCTTACCACCCTCGCCACCTCCACCCGGCCACCACCATCTCAACCACATGGACACCACCACTAATACAATTATTAGCACATTAGTTTCATGATCATAGCTGAACATAAGAAAGTGTTTTCTGGAAGAAAAAAAAATTAGTAAAAAAATATTTTTCTCCAAAACAAACCAGAGCAGCATTACTTACCAAAAAAGAACTAATCATGTCAAGCTGTTTCTCCTAAGAATGTTGGGTTGTAATCAACTAATTCTTACTTGTGATTTGGTTGAACAGTAATGGTTTTGTGGGAAATGAAGAGAATGAGTGTGCACTTCTTGTATTATATACTAATATTATTATGGTATTCTCTTTTATGTACTTCAGTGGTTAGGTATCTTTATGTTTATCCTTTTTTCGCTGGATGTCTTCTTTATTGCTCATATATTTTTTATTTTTTTGGGGGGGGTTGATTCAGTGCAAGAATTGCTAGAAAGGAGGATGAAGAGGAACTGCGCAAAATAGAGGAAGAAGAGAGGAGGGAACGTTTGAGAAAAGAGGCAAAGAAGCGCAAGCTAGGCCAATGATGAGCCCTACACAAATGAAGCTCTGCACAAATAATTTTATTTTGTCATTAAATTCTTTGTTGGTTAATTTTTTTTGTCTGGTGTCAATTATAGTTTTAATTTTTTTTTTTGGGAAGGTGGTTGTATTGCATTTGATATGTACATTCCTTGTATCTTGTAATGCTACTCTAAAAAGCTCCTTGTCAAACATTCCGGATAATCTTCGTGATTTTGTGGGCATCGAAGGGCTCGTGATTTGCAAAAACAAAAATGCTTCCAACCCCCAAAAATGCTAACCCCCGTGACCCCCAACTAATGTGGATGAGTCAAGTGACCTTTCACGTGTATCACAACCCACGCACCTTCTCTTTCTCTCTCTTCATTCAGAATTCAAATTCTCCCACTGAAATACAGATCAAAATCTCCCTGTAATACAGATGTGTCATCTCTATTGCTCCCTCTCTCTCCTTCCCTTGATTCCGATGAGAGAGAGCCTGACAGGCTCTTTTCCTTGACTCCGACGCTAGACTCCTGACTCTCTCTGACGAAGGACGACTAAGAGGTAACTCCGACTTCGACTTATATCTCTATTTGCGTATATATATTTGTGTATATATATTGAGTATATATGTATCTTGTGTATATATTAGGACTTGAGATAAACATTTGGATTGAATGTTTGGATTTGAGGCTTTCACAATCTGATAAACAATTTGAATGTTTGGATTTTGGCATTTTGATTTGGGAATTGAGTAATCTTTACCTTATCTACCACATGCTCGATGAAATTCCTCAACCAAATCTTCTAGTTCTAACCTTTTTTGCAAACCTCTTTTTCGTTCACATTCTGATCATTGATTCCGGCTATAATTATTTTTTTATAAATTACAATTTTTTTTTGTTTTTTTGTTTTTGGCCTTGTGTTGGACCTGTATTGTACAAGGAGATATGTTGTTGGTTGTGAATTACTAGGACTACAAAAAATTGTGAAAATTGGGTGTTTTTCTCATAAAATGTCGATCTTTTACGAGTTTGGTTCTTAATATTGCATCTTAAGCTTCTTGAACTTTTACATTGAATATGGGTTCTTATTATATTGTTCTTGTTTTGTTTCATACAAACAAACAAACAAAATTTGCCTCTGTACTATATATAACTCTGCTTTGCTTGTTTTGGTTGTCTCTGTTTTGATGTTCTCTTTTCTTGTATTTATGTATAGACACATTTTATATATATCTTTTATATTGTATGCACATATATATTTAGTGTGACGGATTTAAGATTCTTTTGATTTTTGGTCTTAATAAATGTGTTTTGTGTGCGAATTATATGAACAAGAGGCCAAGTGAGCCCAAAACATGATAGCCGTATTACCATACATTGTTTTAACTTGAATATAGGTGCATTCACAGTTTAATGAGGATTTGTATTATATAATAATTTTAAAAACTCACGTTGGACTTTATGAAAATATAATCATTATACTTTTTGGGTTTATACTTTTGCAGATGTCTACTTCAAGTGTGAATGGCAGTAGTTTAGATCGGTTGACATACTTCAACAATAATTGTCGTAGATGTAATAAAAAGTCCACTATTTGGATTTTTGAGACCGATCGAAATAAAAACAAATTATTCTATTTTTGTAATGATTGTGGTGGTTTTATTAGATGGTGCTTTTGCCTATGAATTCACAATGCAAAGGTGATGAAATTCCAAGACAAGTAGAAGGAGAAGTGCCAACTGTCAAAGAACAACTTCGATCTATGACCGAATAACTTCGATCTATGACCAAACAACAAAGATTTATGAGGGATCAACTTCGAATTTAGAGCGCAAAGATGTAAAAAAAATGGAATAAGTGTTGTTTGTGTTGCTTGTAATTGGTGCCTTATCACTTATAAATATGTAATAATATATACATGCAAGTTAGAAGTAGAAGTAGAGTGAATACTCGTGTATGGTACTGTGATTTTTGAGAGCAAGTTATGTTTTGTTGTGTATTGATACTCAATTATTCTACATGTTTTGTTTGAGTGGAATGATATATAACTTGTTTAAACTTATAGAATTTGTTTAATATTTGCATACACATTGTGACTGCTGTTCAAACAAAATATTTATCTCAGGACATAATGCAAAAATTTCTTCATAATAAGTTTCAACCTCAAACACAGGCTGTAAAAGTTCAATAAACTAGGACATAAGGTCCACAATGTCCATCACTCCTGGTGTGCATGCATTAGAACCAGATGAGGTTGGAGATCTAGATTCAAAAATTTTAGTTAAAGCACATATCAAACTTCCTGGTGTGTCTCTTATAAAGTCTGATAGGGTAAGAGATGTGCCCCCAATAGCATTATTACTAGTGATAATTCAATTAAAAGTACATGTTAAAAAAAATATTTCTAAATGAAAGCAAGCAATTGATGTAAAGTTATCTTATGAATACGTACCGGTACATATATATTATTTTGCATGCCAAACATATAAGGATGATATGGTGTATATGCACTAGATTGAGCTTGAGCTTCAAATCGAAGCACCTTAGCAGCCTATAATAATAAATAATGATCAATGATTGAAATTTATGAATTACTTTAATGTAGTTGAATAGAGTTTGTTAAAAAAAAAAAGAAAAAAAAAAAGAGTTGAATAGACAATTTACCTTTGCTTTTGTATGTTTTTTTGCTGTTGCCTTGAACCAATTCACTATTTAATCTACTTTGGTAACCTTTTGTCTGGTAACTGGACGACCTTTTTGCCGAGCAACCAAAGGACTAATCACCTTCTTAGTACTAGCTCTTTTTGTAAAACTAGTGGCAATACCTTTGCTTTTGTATGTTTTTTTGCTATTGCCTTAAACCAATTCACTATTTAATCTACTTTGGTAACCTTTTGTCTGGTAACTGGACGACCTTTTTGCCGAGCAACCAAAGGACTAATCACCTTCTTAGTACTAGCTCTTTTTGTAAAACTAGTGGCAATCGAACAAGTAATACAATTACTCCCATCACCTGGTTCATCTTTCATGACTTTATCCTTGATTGCATCCAACCCAAGGTCTATAATTTTAATTTTGTTTTCAGAGTTGCCAACAAGTTGTACAATGCCACTCAATTTCTTGTTCATCCTCTCATAGCAACTTGCATTAAAATCTTTATTTGGAACTTCGTTTATGCACATTCTCACAAGCACAACAAGTGAGTGAGCACACACAATGTCTCTAAACTCAAACAACTGACACATACATTGAACTTCACATTAAGTTGAATTAAAATAGACAACAAAGTCCACATACTTCATCTTCTCACAAACTAACATCGCTTCTTGGACATTATATGTACAAATTGATCCATCCTCTTTGACAATCAAGGCTTGATAGTAAACTAATCTCTTCAACTCTCCTTGAACTTTTTTGAATTTTGCATTGGTGTGGGCTTGCTGAAATTGCTTCTCAAAACCATATATAGTTAGGCAATCAAACAATTTGTGTCGAGACTTAAAGTCTACTTTCTTCTCTTTCTCTACCTTACTTCTCAAGACATTGTCATATTGTTCAACAAATTGCTTTAATGTAGTCTTTAACGTCTTTAATCAAACAATTTGTGTCGAGACTTAAAGTCTTTAACAAATTGTTCAATCCCAAAAAACGTCTTTAACGTAGACAGGAACCCATTGATGCCACTCATCATATAACACTCCGAACCACTCATTATCATGAAGATTGAATTTTGTAAGCATCTCTTCCCATTTATTCTCAAATTAATCTCTTGTCAAACAGCCATAAATTACATTTTGCATAGCCAACTTTATGAGTTCATATTGAGAATATCCTTTCAATTTCTCTAGAATTTTCTTCATTATATGCCATAAGCACCATCGATGTTGAGCCTGTGAAAAGACAATTTCAATAGCATTTTGCATAGCTCTGCACTGATCAGTTATGATAGCTTTTGGAGGATGATCTGACATGCAACTTAACCACGACTTGAATAGCCAAACAAATGTGTTAGTGTCTTCAGTAGATAACAATCCACAACCAAGCAAAATGGACTGTCCATGGTGATTAACTCATACAAATGGATCAAATGGCATGTCATATTTGTTCGTGAGATAAGTTGTACCAAATGAAACAACATCTCCAAATGCTTCATGTGATACCCGTGTTCCGTAATATGTTAATTGATCCTTAATATGAATGTGATTATGTGTTTTGATATGATTGTGTGCACCATTATGTGAAAATATGTGGTTTTGAATTTCTATCTGTTCACCGTAGGAATATCTATTCGATTATTTGCTTTGGAAATTAAATTGAGGGCTTTATCGGCCACAGAACCCGAAATTGATTACGCCGTTGAGTTTGGCATAATTTTTAGAACCTACGGTGAAATTTAATTGAAAACTGATTCGGGTCAAATTAATCAGATTTAATTAATGATTTAATACTCAACTATTTTATGTTAAAATAGTGTATATGAGTGGGGCTATACTATAAGCCTTATAAAGTTCAATTCCCTCCTTTTACATGACTTTTGCTGATCAACTCTAAGAGAAAAGGAGAGGGCCGGCTGTTAGAGAGAGAGAGGGAGAGAATTGTGTAAATTTTGACTCAAGCTTGGAGATTTGAAGTCTAGTTCAAGAATTAACCATAGATTGGGCTTCTAGGTAAGCATTGATTCTTGAATTCATGAGTTTAAGGTGTAATCTTGTGTATTCAAAGTTAATTAATGGTCAAGAGAATGTTTTGAATTTGCTTTGTTGAATTAGAAGACCATATATACATGCATGTATGTAATTGTTTGGAATTTGCATAATTGAGCTTGAATTACATGATTCATGTTGCAATTTGGTTGAAATCCATGTAAATCTGTAGTTGAAGCTCATGTGTAATCACCATTGGTATCATCTAAGTTGGGAATGGGAGCTAGACATTACGTGCATGTACAATCTATGAAGATAAGAGCCTTGAATGCATAAATGTGTATGCTAGAATTGAGTTTGGTGTCAATTTGAGCCATGCATGTGTTAAATCCTTGAAATTGAGCTCCATGATAATGTGTTTTGGTGTTTATACCATGTTAGTACAAGTATATGTGGAATTGGAGCTATAAAATGCACGAATTGTTAGTTGAAAGTCGAAATGAAACTCAAGTACACAATCTGGGATTTCCAGAATTTTGATGTCTGCTCGAGCGGGAAATACATGCTCCTAGTACTTTTTGTAGACTTGGTGTCCGCTCGAGCGGGGTAATTCACGCTTGAGCGGGGGAGCTATTTAGACAGGCCTTTCGTTCGAGCGCCCTAATTCACGCTCGAGCGTATTTTTGATGCAACTAGTACTTTTGCAAGCCTTACGGGTCTGCTCAAGCGGGTAAGTCCACGCTCGAGCGGGGACCCTGTTTTTCGAAATTTTTTTTATGCGTTCTTTGTTTCGTTTTCCGTCCTCTTTCACTTCTAATCACTCGTAGGCATACTTTGAGCATTGTGATTGAATTAAAGAGATAAGAATGAAGCCTAAAGAGGAAAATGTAAATTAAAGAACGGATTGAATTGTTGGTGACCCTTTTGTGTTCATGAAATGTGTAGGGTCGAGCTCCAGGGCAAACCAACCAACCGATCACTGTGAGTAATAGCTGAAATACATATTGTTGTCCAATTGCTTACTTCTATGTAAGTTTTGTAAAGTTCATTAATTTTGAATGGTGGACAAGTTTGAAAGGCTTAAATGCCAGTTTATTATGACAAGTTTGAGAGGCTTAAATGCCAGTTTGACATAACAAGTTTGAAGGGCTTAAATGCCAGTTTGATATGACAATTTTGAGAGGCTTAAATGCCAGTCTGATATGACAAGTTTGAAAGGCTTAAAAACCAGTATGATATGACAAGTTTGAAAGGCTTAAGTGCCAGTCTGATATGACAAGTTTGAAAGGCTTAAATGCCAGTTTGATATGACAAGTTGGAAGGGCCGAAAGGCCAGTCTGATACGAAAGTTTGATAAGGCCAAAAAGGCCAGTCTGATATAAACGTTCGAAAAGGGCCAAGGGCCAGTTTGACATGAATGAATTGAGCCAAAGGCCGTCTACTATATAATGTTCCAATGTATTTTCCTTATTTGATATTATTCACTGGGCTTCCGCTCACGGTCATTCATGTGTTTGTAGGTGAGCCAAGAGAGGTCTAGACCCAGCCCCAGTGAAGTCTGTATGGGACAACTGAGTTTTGGAAAGTCAGCCTATGTGTCTCACGCATGAGACTCACCTTCGCCTTTGTTATTATGTTTTATGTTGTCACGTTGGCGGAGCCTTTGTATATGTCTGTATGTAGTTCATGGGTTGACTTAGTTTTGGATGATCCTGTCTGTACAGAACTTTTTGATACTGTAATTTCGTTGTGAGTTATTAATGTTTATATGTATGACTTGTTTGACGTGCCATGTAAGCATAGCTCTAAGGACAAAGTTTTTAAATTGCTTCCGTTTGGCCCCCATTAACTCTGTTAATAGACGTTTGGTTTGGTTTGAGGCCGTAGGTAATCTCACGATTACTGACCGGTTATGTCCTTAACCCACGGGGGCGGGTTCGGGTTATGACAGAGTGGTATCAGAGCATGAGTTAATAACTCATACACTTGTCCAAAAGAGCATTAAGCGTCTAGAAAAGATCTAGGATGCATTCATAAGTATGAATTTGAAAGCATTGAGAATGTGCTTAACTGTTTTAATACGAACAACTATGTGTTATAATTTGTGATTTACTTGCATTACAATTAAATGAATATGTATGCTTTTGTTACAAGCATATTTGTGAACTTTTGTATAAACTATAATGCAAGTTTAATCAGATGGTGAGGACAAGGGGTGATGAGATAGAGGAATCTTCTACTGCCAGACTGGACAGAATGGAAAGACTGATACAGGAAATGGCAGAAACTTTGAGACAGCAACATGAGTGGCAACAACAATGGCAACAACAGTGGCAGCAACCACATTCGCCACCTCCACCTCCGGCACCTCTTGTGTCGGATAATCAGAATGATGACCGAATCATAACCCTCACC